AGCACACACCGCACGAGAAGCACTCACACCACCACCATTATATCGTCGGCCCCACATAGATCTACACCCATAAACGGCACTATCCAGTAACGGCTCGTCTCGTTCGCACTTCAGCCACTTCACGATGGCCCCGCCCCCGGGAAATAAGGCCCAGTCCTGCGCGGCAGAGGAAGGTCCGCGAAGCACCGCAGCGGGCCCCCGGCCGTGGCCCTTCGCGGCCCGGGGCCCTACAGCAGACCTCCGCCCGCAACCCAACCGCACCTTACGGTTCTTGGCACGACCCCCCGCCGCCGCCGCCGCGGCCGCGGCCGGGTCCAACGCCTGCCCAGCCGCTACCAGCGGCGCCATCCCAGGCTGCGACTTCGGCCCAAAGCGGTTTGCAGTGATGAGCGCCAGGAGCTCCACCGTCTTGCCCAGACCCATCTCATCCGCCAAGATGCCGCCCCGCACGGGCTGCGGTGCCGGAAACGGCACCGCCGCCAGCGCACCCGTATAGGGATTCACGTACACCGCCTCCGCTGCGCTGCCGGGTAGCGTACGCAGACGCCGCCACAGCGGATGCAGCGGCGGCGCTGCGGCGCGCAAATCTCCCCCCTCCTGCACATCTGCTGACGCTGGCCCCCTAGCTGCTGCTACTGCTACTGCTGCATCCCAATCCATCGCCTCCCGACCCTGCGGGGGCTGTACCTGCGCTGCCTCCCCGCGCTGCTCCGCTCCTCCCTTCCCACTGTTGAAGCCCGTGGCGGCGGCGGTGGTGTCCTCGTCATTCTGCTCCCTTTCCAGTACTACTTGCTCCCGCCGCAGCATCCACGCCACTGCGCGGCGCTGGTAGGGGCGCAGCCGCGGCCGGAGCTCCGGCGGGTCAGCCATCCACTGGGGCTCCGCGCCCGACGGCTTCACTGCGCGGTACAGCCAGTCCAGGTCGAAGCCGCCGCCGCCGCCGCCGCCCCCGCCGTGAGGTCCCGCCGCGGCCGCCACCGCGGCTTCCTCTGGCGGGGGGGACATAGGGACCCGCTGCTGCTGCTGCTGCTGCTGCTGCTGCTGCTGCTGCTGCTGCTGCTGCTGCTGCTGCTGCTGCTGCTGCTGCTGCTGCCGGGATGGCCACGAGGGCGAGGGCGAGGGCGAGGGGGGGTTCGGTACTTGCCCAGGGGACGGTGTCGGCCCGTCGCTCCGAATGTGGGGTAGGAGCCAGGTGAGGACACTCAGCAGCCGGCCCTGTATCGCCGAGTTGCGATGTAGGCAGTGCGGGGGGGGGGAGGAGGTTGGAGGGAGAGGGGAAAGGGAGGGGGGCGTTCCCATCAGTCAGCAATACACACGCAGCACTTTTTCCTGACACGCCCGGAGTCCCGGAGACCGTTTATTCAGTTCAAGAACAAATTAGGACGCGTCCGATGTGGCGGTACCGCGTGAGTGTGCTGAAGCAAGTGGTGGTGTGCCCCACCCTACCTGCATGCAACCCCCAACTGCTGGCCCAACCTGTCCGGCTACATGTGCCACACGCGCTCGCTCGCTCGCTCAGAAACACGCCTTCGGCCACCTAGTCTTGACACCCTTCGCACACACACACACACACACACACCATCATTCGAGAGCCCGTCTCTCACCTTCCCATAGCTGCTGATGCGGCTACATAGAGCTGCACCACCCCCACCCCCACCCCCACCCCCACACCCCACCCGCCCTACCTGCCAGGCGCGCTGCTGCACATCCTCCGGATCGCTGCTAGCCAAGCGCTCCAAGGCAGCTGCCGTAACACCGAGCCGAAGGCCGCCTCGGGGCGGCTGCTGCTGCTGCTGCTGCTGCAGCGCATCTGCGTTGTCATCTGCTGTTGTGCGTGAGGCGCCTGAGGCTCTATGAGGCGATATGGGCAACACGGTGGCATCTACGCGGCGGCTGTCTGCGCTGTAGATCGCTGGCAGCCAGTCGTACTCGCATGTGTACGGCGGGCCCGTGATGTCCAGCGCTCGGCCAGTGCCAGTGCCGGTGCCATCCTGAGGTAACAGGCTGACCGGTGCAGACCCCGACACCCAGGTGTAGATAACTGTCTGGGAGCTTGGACTGCTGCCGGGTTCGGGGGAGGATGCATCTGGCAGAGCGATACCCAGAATGCCGTCCTGCAGCAGGCGAGCCAGGTTGCTGCCTGTTGCCAGGGACGGCACAGAAAGTAAGGCCTGCATATCATAGCACGCGGGCAAAGAGTTGAGGGTTGCGGTGTTCTCGGTGCGGATAATATACAGCAGGATGCATCTTCAACGCTACCGTCATAGGCTGTCCGCTTCCATCTTGAAACTCCAATAGTACCGATGGACTCTCGTTGGAGTTTCCCTTCACTGTGACATGGACAGCTGCAGGAGGCACTTCGACATCGGCCTCGCTAACTGACAAGCTATTTAACTGCAGGAACCCAAAAAGCTCATGAGTTTTAAGAGATTGTACTAGAGTGTCATTATCGTATGATGCCGCTGGTTGCGTCCTCCGTCTGCGCTTTGCAGGCCTGGCTTCCTGCTCCTGAAGCTCTCGCTCCAAGGGTTCGGACTCCAAAGGCTCCGAAAAACCCTGCTGTACCTCAGAGTTTTCACGCTGTGCAAGACAACCTTGAGAGTCCTTCTGGGGTCCACCTACTTGAGGCACAACTAATCTTCGGGAAGGCGCCCCCTTCGTGCGAGGCATTTGTCAGTACTGCTCAATTAAATAGGAGACATGTATAGGGTAAAAACGGCTGTCAGTCGACAGCCCACAGCAGGGGCAAGTGGCATGACAAGATTTGCGCTTTGCGTGCCATGGTTTGCAACGGCCAACTGCAGCCGGGCAAAGCACGCGTGGTGGACTGGTGGCATAGAACCACAGGCATCTGGAGACATGAACTGCTCAGAGGCATGTTGTCTCTACGTGACATATGGACTTCTTGCCATGTACTGCTGATGGTGATCCAAAGCACACTAATCCCCAGACGCAAGAGTGTCGTGGTAGATAACACAGTAACGCGAAAAATGCAGACCACAAAATGGCAAAGCTCCGTTGGCAAGGCACTCCACAGGGAGTGAGCAATGGATGCTGGAATGCAAGCGGGAGCGCAAAACCCACTAAGAGCATAGCTACCCTCCCTCACACAATGTGCATAACTAGCTATGGGCAAAAATAACGTCGACCATGGTCGCCAGACCTCGTCGCTCCTCCGCCTGCACATTCACAACTCACAACGGGGAATGGGCCTCGGCACCACCGCTGCGCTGCACGGCCATGTGCTTACTTCTGCATATACATAATTTTATTCGTATGTGTCGCAATCAAGTACCAGTGCTAGCAGCTGGGGCCCTCAAAGAGCGATGTTCGGGGAAAGGGAGTGTATCATGACCGGTCTATACAACATCTGCTCCCGAACAAAGAAATCTGTCATGGGGTTGGCATGGCCACCAGCCACAAGACCAGCTGTTTCCAGGCAGGCAAGTGTCGATGCAAAAAACGTCGTGGATTTGTTTTGAGGGTTTGCTTTTGACGCGTGAAGTGGCCCCGAGGCGCATCGGACCGAAAGACACGTGTCACAGGAGGACACCTACTTCATAATCCAGGAGCCCCATCCCTGACCTCTTGTATGTTCAAAAGCATTTCTGCACAATCTGTCCAACAATACGCGTGTGTTGTATATGCATGTTGTCCACGTCCTGATCGATGCCGGCAGTGCTCGGAAAGCAGTGCAGAGCTGAGCGGTGCTGTCGTGTCCCTCTCCGCCCCCTTGGTGGGCGGCAGCGGGGAGGCGGGCAAGTCAGTGCAAGAGGCGAGGGCCGTGTGTGTGCGGGTGGGGTGAGAGGGAGGGAACCAGGTCACCACCGCGAGCAGCAGTCCCGGGGTACATGCCCCTGGCCGTAGCCCCCACCCCCCCACCCCCTGTCGGTGCCAGGCAGCTACAGGCCGTACACCCACAGCATCAACAACCCAAGGAACAGCAGAGCAGCTTCAACCCCCAACCACATACATACATACACACAAATACACACATACATACGTACACACATACACACCTGCGGGCCCCCCTTGCCAACGCCACCACCACCACCGCCGCCGCCGCCGCACCTCCGCCACTTCCCATTTGCCGCCTTGCAGCCGCTGCCCAAGCCCTAAGTTCCCTCCCTCCCTCTTCCTCCTCCTCCTCCACGTCCCAGCACTACCGCTATCGCCCTCGCCGCACACTGGAGTCGGTTACACACACTTCCGTACCCGCCCTTTCCTTTTCCCCGAACCCACCCACTCAGCCCTCTGCGTGAACCCCCTCCTCCTCCTCCTCTTCAAGGCCTCAAAGGCGGCAGCGGCCCGCCGTTGTTAAACTGATCCATCCAGCGGTTACGCTTCCTGCCGTACGCCGCCAGCTCCTCCGTAAAGTCCCGAGCCAACCGCCTCAACAGCGAAGGTAGCTGACCCTCCCGTCGGACCGTCATCACCTGCATACGTCCAGGACAATACACAGTGTGAATCCCCAGGATTACCCCGAGGGGGGGCCCGTCAGGTAGCCGGGGGGGAAAGGCGGGAGGGGTGGGGGGAAGCGAGCCGGGGAGGGGGGTTCGGGATAAAGAAGGGCACCGGTGTGTATTCACATATACGGACCAACAGCCCCTCGGTTGACGTTTTCGAGGCGCTTCAGGAGGGGCACCTTTCCGTACATGTGGGAGGGGGAGACGAGGGATACCGGTCACGGTGGCGGCA